CAATCAGGAATTAAAATGGCAATCCATCCATTCCTTGAGCCGCCTGAAATTGCACCTACCGTCATGAACCACCCGAAGGAGAGCAGGATACAACATAGAATATATTTTAAATCCAGATGCCTTAAATATTTTCATAACATCTTGAAATGATCCTGACTTTTCTGCACCTCTCGTGAAAAATCAAGAAAGCATATAATTTTTGATCCATTATATCCAATATCCTTCAGAACCCTGGCCCTCTAAAATTCAGAAGATGAATGAGAAAGGCTGTGGACTATCTCCAGGTAGTACTGGGCTATTTGGGATCCTATGCGCACGTTCCACAGCAAACGTCGACGACAAGAAGTCTTCTTCCTCAAACATATCCACCAGCCATCGTTCAGCAAATTTAACTGGGTCATCGTCCTCAGCTTTCTCAGGGGAGGCCCACCACATGCACATTAATTGCGACGCAGCCGATTTTCCAAACCTTCCATTTTAATAATAGTACTGTTCAACTTGTGCTTAACTTCTTTTTCATCGATAGTAAGTGGGGAGACAATATCTTCTATGCAACTAACTCGATTCTCAAGAGCTGTCATGCGATCTTGTACTTTTTTGGAGATCATGATGAATAAGGGCCACATCTTCACGTACAGCCTGTACTTGCCCAGTAAGTAAAGGGATAGAGGAAAAGCATTGCTTTACTAGAGAATACACATACCATGTACTGGGTTTTTGACCCCCCTCGGCTATCTCAGCTACCTTCCCCCTACCAAAGTTGAAACAGTGGCAGAGATTCTCACGTCTGGTGGAGGGAGGGAAGGGCAGTTAGTGTCCCCAGCTTGTGGGACCATCAGAGCCATGCGCTGATGATGCTCCATTCGCTGCTCCTCATCACCTTGGTCAATCAACTGATCACTTTCTCCCTCCACACAGTTTGTAGCTGTATCCCGGGCCTTCTCCCCCTTTGTCAGGGCCCTCGATGGAAGAGGCTGCGTGGTTTTTAGACCCTTCTGCTTCCCTGAATTCGTGGAGCTGCTCCTCCACCCTCCTTCCTCCTGGTCATGCTGGATGAAAACTACCTGCATGAATAGGCAATTGGGGTGGTGGAGGAGATGAACAATGGCCTTCTGGAGGCTCTGACACCAAACAGCACTCCTGTGGTAGGGGAAGGGAAAGCAGGCAGACAAGCAGACAGAAGGCACCTCTACGAAATCCCCAGAGAGGACCCCTGCGAAGGACCCCCCAGAGCATCTCCAAAAGACGGAACAGTGATGAAAGAGAGGGAACAGCGGTGTGAGCGGCGGCAGCAGCAGAAGTGGGGAGTAAACAAGTGAGGACTCGAGGACAGGAAGTTGTAGGATGGAGATGGGGAATCAAGTCAGTCCATATTAGGTGCTGGGCTCAACACAGTTCACCTGTTGGTGTCCGCTCACATGACAGCACCGTGAAATATTTAGTAGCAAGGAAAGTTCACGGATTGGACTTATTGCACAGGTGGCAACCTATCACGGTACCACCAAGCTTGAATTCACTGAGCTCCTGAGAGCGACCCATTCTTTCACAAATGTTTGTAGAAGCAGACTGCATGCCTAGGTGCTTGATTTTATACACCTGTGGCCATGGAGGTGATTGGAACACCTGAATCCAATGATTTGGAGGGCTGGCCCAATACTTATATATTTTAGTTTTTTTTTTTAACTTTCCTATTTAACTTTTTTTTTTCCTTTTTCTTTTTAACACTGTACCTTTAAATTTTTTGATTAAACAAGATACCTTGTGATAGCATGGTCCATGACAAGTCCTCTTTATGGACAGATCTGGGGACTATTATACCCCAGAAGTCTCCTCTGACCTCTGGAGCATCTCATCAAACAAGATCAGTTTGACCAGATGCTCTTCAAGCCAGTAACAGATTTTAGACAAATAAACCAAAGCCAGAAGGGATTCAATCCTTGCCGATACCAGTTTCTGTTCTCACAGACAGGGAGGAACAATAAAAGTTCATCTCACTCTGAGTAGTGCATCTGATGCAGCCAGTGGCATTGGTACCGGGCTCCCCGGAAAGGAAGGGAGAGCCCGGTAAAGGCTGTGGGAGGGACCTCCTTCCGCCGCCTGTAAAGGTGATCCAGTGGTTGTACAGCCGCTCTGATCACTTTTACATAAAGGCCCGTAGCCTGCTCTAAACCGGATACCACGATCATGGCTGCATCCATGATCATGATACCACCATTCCTGTCTGAGGCATAAAGTATATATATGTACAGCGGACGGGAAGTGGTTAAGCTATCATACATTATGCAGTCTCCTTCAGATCTACCTACAAAACTTCCTACTTGTCCTTACATGACAAAGTTTGAGTAAATGTAAATAACATTGTACAAAGACCGTTCAATCAGATATGTAGGGTGTATTGCCATCCTTAGGCTCACTACACACATTTCAATCTGATGGTAGATTTAAAGGAGATTGTACAAACAACAGGTATGTAGTAGAGTGGCCTGCCTGATATGATCCAAATTAATTGGATAGTTTAGCTAAATCCTCATATTGATAGCTCTACAGTGGATTGTACCATCAGATGGTAGAGTATATGTTGAGCCTTATGGTGGCAATATATGCGTTAAAGTTTTTTTTTCCGATCTATGTGTGATTCAATTAAAACAGCAAATAGACATTTCCCTTCTGATTGATTTAGGCTCTATGCACACTGGGTGTTTTGATAACGCTGGTAACGTTAGGGTGTAAAGGCATGTTAAAAATGTTTTTCAGCTTTTTTTTTAAGCGTTTTTGCATTAGCATTTTAGTGGTGGTTTCCCACGGTTTTTATTTTTAACCATACAAAATTTATTTTTTGGTAAAAAAAAAACAAAAAAAAAAACCACACATCCAAAAAACACCGGTTTGTGGCGTTTTACAGCTAAAAAACCCACTAGTCCTGTTTTGTTCTTTTTTTCGAGCCAAAAACCGTTGATTATAGTCTATGTGTGCATGGACACATAGGATAACTTGCTGGGGAGTTTACTGGATGTAGAAAAAAATGTCAAAAGCCAAACAGCAGCTGTAAAAACATCCAGTGTGAATGAGGACTTATTCTTAAAGTGTTACTAAACCCAGGACCCTGCATTCACTATATCTTGTCTCCCACAGTACACACAACATAGAAATGCAATTATGTTATCAAATATATACTGCTAAATACCTTTTCTCATCAGCAGTCTTGTGAATTATATTAGTGTCCAGCAGAGCACTGGTTAAAGCTTGTAGAAGGAGTTTTATTTCTGCTCTAGGAGGATGCAGTACCACTGACCCATCTGGACAGTGCTGATTGGCCCTGTGCTGATCACATGCACTCTTCCAAGAAAAACAAAAAAACTTAGGAATACACACCAAACTGAGCATGTGCAGAATGGCTACGGTTCAGTCTGTCTTAGCTTGGACATCTGAACAAGAGGGGCAGAGAAGACAGGATCAAACAGCCTTTTTACACAATGCAGAGGAGTAACCCCTTAGATTCCACAATGAGTATAACAAGCATGTTTTACTGCATATACAGACTGTTTTTACGGTTGTGGGTTTAGTAACCCTTTAATTTCGATCAGAGTTGTTCGGTCAGTGCTGAATACTATTGATCAATTGGCAGCACTGAAATACTTAATTTACAATTAGGATCGTATTTCAGATGATCAAATTCTGAGAATAAACAGTTACAACAGAGATGGTCACTTAGTTGTCACAGAGTATTAATCGTAATCCACTTCCTTATTTGTGGAATATTGGTCTCAGTCACACCACTGCGATTTAAAAATTGCACAATTTGTGTGCAATTTCTGAAGATTTCATTACTTGTGAAGATTTTCAATGATTTCTTGCAATTTGCAGTGCGATTCCCAGTGTAGTCTATGTATGTAATTGTTGGTAGACATCATGTTGTAGCACGTTAAGCCACTGGCATTCACTAGATGCGATTTCAATTCACAAATCTCACTGGTGCAACCAGGCACTAATAGGTTGGCATTTACACCCCGGTCACACCAAACCTTACAGCAAAGTCGCATGATTTCAAAGTCGGAGGACAAGCCAATTTCAGGTGCGATTTGCAAGACATCTGACACGGATATCTATGCAAATCGCACCAAGAGTAGTGCATGTAGTACTTTAGAAATCGGTGCGGCTCCGACCAAGTAGGAACCACACCGATATGACTACTCTAATAGCGGACAATAGGGTGCGACTTTGCATGCAATTTGTAAATCACATGCCAATACATATCCAGTGTGATTGGGGACTTAAGAGATCAATCAGGAAATGGATGATTTATTGATGTATGTATGGCCACCACAGGAGCAGATTGTGTCCTCCCAGCCCCAGAGGTGTATAGATCAGACTACCTGGAAGGAGGCTGCTCCTGGGATTCTCTGGCTGTCACAGACGAGGAAGACAAGGAAAGCCACAGGCAGGCAGCTCCAGGCCGGCCCCATACACCGCACTCTACTCCGCACCATCTTCTGTCACACCGCATAACCCCAGAACTGGGAAGAGGAGGAGAACAGGGAGGAGAAGAGTCCACTATTGGTGCTCCCCTGTTCTTCAGCAGACACACCCCCCCGCCCAGGAAGCTGCCAACTCCATCCTAAACTTCTTACAGCTTGTCTACTGTCTTACTTCCGTATTACCGTCCAAATATGGAAAGCAGGCCACGCCTCCACCTTATCCGCCCCAGGATTGGCGGAAAAGTCATTCTCTCCGCGACGTATTTCATTCAGTTCCTGAGCTCCCCGTTATCTGCCATTGGACGTTTATTTGATTAGGTAATCACTGTGAGCCAATCTAAGAGGGCAGAAAGGCGTGCTATACGTCTTCTATAGGTGTCTGCCCAGAGAGCTCCATATTGTTGGAGGTTTATACTGTGCACAGCGCTCTGAGGCTCCGGCTTGATGGAGTTGTTCGGATTTCAGTAGACTCGGACTGTTTCTGTGCTTCTTGGCCTTCTGGGAAGGCGGGCTTTAGTTGCAGTCATGGCTGTGCTTCTGGAGACCACATTAGGGGACATTGTCATAGATCTTTACACTGAGGAAAGACCCAGAGGTAAGAAGATGTTGGGATCCCTTATGTCTTGTCTTCTCAGAGTCACTGGGGGAGATTTACTAAATGTAGGGAAGCGGAATCCGCTGCAGCTGTGGATGGGAACCAATCAGATTCTAACTTGTTCTTGTTCAGTTAAGCTTTGAAAATCAAACCTGGAAGCTGATTGGTTTCTATGCAGAGCTTCACCAGATTCTGTGTGCACCAGTTTTAAGCTCAGTTTACACTGTTGTGGCCTGTGTTTGACAGACCATTCATTTGAATGAGCCGCTGTGCCCACAAATTCTGCATGAAAAAGGTGCATGCGCATTGAAAACACAGCCGCAGGGAAAACTCATAGTCTTTTTGAGCATGCGGTTTACCTGCGCACCCACAATCGCACTGCAAGCTGAGATGCGTGGAGGTGCCATTCAGACTGCCAGTTCATATATATGTGGATTGGATGCGATTTGAACCGCATCCAATCGGCGTGACATGTGAAATAACACTGCGTCCTATGGTGCCTGTTCACATATGTCTGGTGCACTGAAAGTACGGATTGAAAAAGAGTCATGTATGATTTCTGAGCAGTGCGGTCGGGTTTCCGTGCGGATTACAGGCTATTGACTTCTATTGGAACCGTTTCTAAACCGCATATGTGTGAACAAGATAAACGCCTGACTCAATCCTGTCCTAAACCTGACCTGAACTGTTGAACAACTACTGTGTCAATTATCTGTGAAACGTGAGCGTCAATCCGCACTGCACATGTGTGAATCAGCTCTGAATGTCAGCCCCGCATGTCTTGTAAGAGCAGCGTGATTTGACTGCAGGTGGTTGCGGGGGCAGGCACAGGTGCTATTCTAAGTAAATCTCCCCCATTGTGTTGTTTCCCAGGAGCATGATGCAGAGTATACATACTGTATGCATGTTTCTTGTTCTCCAGTACTAGCAAAAGTGCAGACATCCAGGAGGTGGACTACTGGTGGTCATACACACTTCCATAAATGATCCATTTCATTTCCCATCAAGCTGCCTCGATAGGAATAATTTATCTGTTCTTGACAACCCATTAGATCGAAATGACACACATGGGAGAATTGGATTCTAACAAATAGCTGGAAGGTATCACCGTATATTATCAATCACATCTTTGTTTTCCCCCATACAGTCTCCTAATCATGTTCAATTGCAACTCCTTTAGACTAGGTTCACACTGTTGCTGGACAGCGTATAAGTTGCATGTGATCCTGCAGCCAAAACGCACTTCTCTTTTTGCAGATGCGCGGGGGGGGGGGGGGGGGGGTTGGGACGCCATTAATTCTTAAACTGGTTGTAAAGGCTTAAGGTTTTTTACCTTCATGCATTCTATGCATAAAGGTAAAAAAAAACCTTCTCTGTGCAGCTCCACACCCCCCAGCCCCCTTTAATACTCACCTAAGTCCCCTCTCAATCCAGCGGTGTGCACTAGAATCTCAGCTATCCTGGGACTCCCTCTCCTCATTGGCTGAGACAGAAGCAGGAGCCATTGGCTTCTGCTGCTGTCAACCACAGCTAGTGAGCCAATGAGAAGAGAGAGGGGGTGGAGCCACAGCTCCGTGTGTGAATGGACACATGGAGCAGCAGCTGGGGAGTGCACTTGCTTGGGGGATCCCCCATAGCAAGCTGCTTGCTGGGGGGCACCCGACAGGAGGGAGGGGCCAGGAGCGCAGGTGCGGGACCTGAGAAGAGGAGGATCCGGGCTGCTCTGTGCAAAACCACTGGATGGAGCAGGTAAGTATAGGCATGTTTATTGTGTGTGGTTATTTATTAAAATAAATTTAAGCCTTTAGAATCACTTTACACAGCACATTTTTGGATGCATGAATCTGCATGGTACAAAAGCACCATGTGGTTTCACTATGGCTGTAGCCTAAAGTTGAAAAAAGGTGATGGGGGAGGGATCTGTAGCCCACAGCATGTGATTGACAGCCTCAGCTCTGTTCCTGTGTACTGTGTGTAATGGGTGTGTCCCTTTCCTCCAATCAGCTCTCAGAGCTCTCCTCATGGAGCTCTGCAGTATATAATTTTAGCTCTTTGCCACTTTTTTTCTAACAGCTCAGACAAGCTTTATGATTTCTACACTTTGAAAAGATTAGCAGATAAACAGCTACAACGTATGTAGGAGTATTTGTTTCATCTCTCTGCATCACGTGAGGCCAGTCAATTTAATGGGTATATGTAAGGGTTTACAACCACTTTAAGAAAAAGTGCAGGGCCCTTGCCCTTGCGTTTTCCACAATGCGAGCCAGAGGAAATGCTGAGATGTGAACCTAGCCTTAAAATGAGGCAGTTTGCCCCTGACTCATGAGTTCAGTTCACACTAGTGGGCTTCAGCGGTGTACACTGAGAAAAAAAAGCAGGACATGCATTACATTTTTTTTTTCCAGCACAGCGTGTATTGCGTGCTTGCTACAGTACATTGCACCCAGCCCAATACGGTGAATAAAAATAAATTAAACTTGTGAAATTTCACTAAAGTTATTGAAAATATAAATGGTGGGAAGCACTAGTTATGAATTGATACTGTCACCGTCGCCATGCATGCCAGCGGCTGCACTATGAAAAAAAAAAATCCCTTACTTGTGGAAACCGGCCCTTACAGCTGGAAAACCTCCTTCGATCAGCAGCTTGCAGCCAGTCGGCTGCAGCGCTGATCAGTGTATATTGCCTGAATGCAATAGCACAGCGGGGAGGTTTCCTGCATTCACCTACCTTATGTGGATGGAGGAATCCCTTTTTTTTTTTTTTTTTTTTTGTTTTTTTTTTGTTTTTTTTTGTTTACATTAAAAAAAACTTAACTGTGAGTACCCAGCTTAACACTGCCTTCTCCCCAGCTTGACTATGCTGATGTGCAAAGGTGTCTCTTTTCCTAGTCTATCAAGAGTGGACACACCCTAAGACAAGAAGCGTATTACTGCTCAGATCACGAGGTGAAAATGAAGGAAAAAAAGAAAACTGATGCAACCACTATACTTTGGGATTGCTAAGATGCAATATATTACATTTTGGTTTTGGTTTTATAAAGCTTTAAAGTGATTATAAAGGTTATTTTTCCCTATTAAAATTTACTGCAATGAGCAGTCAAGTATTATTAGTAAGATGAAGAAGACAATTTATAGCAAAGTGTAGAAAAAACTAAAACCTATATGCCTTGATAAGCAGTCCCGTCCTGTATGCCTTGATAAGCAGTCCCGTCCCCCCTACCGCTGTACAGTATTATATTTGTTTACTTTTGTTTTTTCTCTTTTTCAGCCTGCCTAAATTTTCTGAAGTTGTGCAAAATAAAATATTATAATTTCTGTCTCATACACAATGTGCAGGTGAGTATTTATTTATTTTTTTTTTTTTTGTAGTAGCATAAACCATCAAGATGATATGTCATTTTGACTTTAAAATGCTTAATTGTTAAAGTTAAAGGGTCAGTATTTCAAAATCATAATTTAATATTGCTAGATCCTGAAGAATTAAACCATCCAATTATTTCATTTCTTGAAGATATATGTGCTTGGGCTATGTGGTATGTCTGTCCTTTTTCCTTGAACAATAGAAAGTAGGCTTTGCTCTTCTGTTGGATATGTATTCCATTTTCCATTTATTTCCAAAGCTAAGAACTCTGGCAGGGAAATCATACCACCAGGGTCCTCAAGGAGTGAGGGGGCTTCTTGTGCCGTACACCCCCCTTACTGTAACTAGAAATCCAATGTCAGTTGGCCCTTTTTACAGCGATACTTTCTAATACGTTTTTCAGTATAAAACATTTCCAAACGTTCCAGGAATGTAACTGTCACATTTGCTTGTTCTCTGAATCAAACTGTCAAACCATCAAATGGTTGGAGTCATAACTGATCGCATGTGCAGCATCATGGCAGTTGAAGATTAGACAGAGGCCATAGTGGCAGATTTCTTGGCTGAAAAGGTTAGGAGGGTTTAGTTCCGCTTTAAAATAGAAATTTAGCTTTCAGATCACTTTAAATAGTTTGTTAGAGGCAAACTTTATGTAAAATCCATTGATGGAAATTCTGTAACAGTATCTTACAGGTGGAGTCCTGAAGAAGTTTAAAGGAGAAGTATGACCAAAGCTCTTTTGGACATACTCTTCCTGGGGGTTCCAGGAGTGCTCTTAGTTCTGCACTCCTGTGACCCAAATTCAGTCATCAGTGGGCTAAAGTCTGCTGTTGGCTGATGTCACAGAGCCGGTCCAGGCTCTGCAGTGATCCTGACAATATTGTTGGGATCCACATGCCTGACCAGCAGCTGCCTCTGCCTCTCAGTGTGCCACAGCAACCACACAATGGAGAAACATCAGTTTTAGGACAGGGCTTGCCAAGTACCATTTGATTTTATGTGCCCTAATATAATTCCTTTTTTTTTTTTTTTTTTTTTTTTTTTCATAGAAAGACTTTATCATACAGACCGGTGATCCTCTGGGAACAGGCCGAGGAGGCGAATCTATTTTTAGGTATATTTGTTCAGCTTTTTTACACTTTATTTTCTAAATGTGGAATAACGTAATCTAAAATGGGTATGTTTCAGGGCTATACATTTTCCCGATCCTTCATCCAATTTACTGTCTTGGCTACATATAGGAAAAGCCATGCAGGTTTTTCATCTTCATTCAGCGACACTGCACAGGCTACTTCTTTTATGCTGTCAGATTTAGGTATTGGCAAATTCCTTGCTGTCTAGTAAATTACAGACACATGGTGTATTTTAAGGACTTTGTATATACAATATTATCACACAATCAGTGCCGTAGGAAATCCTATCTAGGGATCTCAATAGTAGAAACTTTAGTTATATAATGTTTATGATATATAAAGTACTGCAGCAGACTGGTCTTCGTTCAGCTTTTATAGTGGTCAAAGTAGTGTTAATACAGCCCTAATGGTCATTATACAGAACGGACAATGTGGGTGACTCAGACCACAGTTTCAGTTTTATTTTGTGTTTCTAAAGTGCATTTTGATTGCCAACAATGTCTTTTAACAGTTGGAAGGAGGATGTTCAGTGCTGGTGTGCTCAGAGTTGAGTCACTGCTGAATGTATTGTCTGGGAAAGAGGGTGGTGGAGCCTTGTTTTTTGCTTTTGAAATTGCCTAGGTGCTGTTTACTGTTGCACGATGTAGCCAGTGAGGGGTAGGGAGATTTTCTGTAAAAATGTAAGGGAACTGGCATCCATCACTGTTGTCGATGCAAAATTTACTTTCTCCCTTCAGTTCTGCAAAATAGGATTTGTTCTGCTTTTTGTTTTCCATTTAGTAAACTGTACGGTGACCAAGCTCGTTATTTTGAACCTGAAAAAGTGCCACGGATAAAACACAAAAAAGTGGGAACAGTGTCAATGGTGAACAATGGCAATGATCAGCATGGATCTCAAGTAAGTGAAATAAATGTTCTAAAGCAAAATTTCAGGCAACAGTAGCAATATTGTAAAAATACTATATTTGGTTAGTCATTGCGCAATATAGACCATTTGCTAATAAGCGAATAGCTAATGAATAGCAGAAGGCAACAACAGAATGTTGTTAACAATTTCTTTTTCTTTTTTTTTTTTTTTTGTAATTTTGTCCACTGTATTTCTAAAAGGCATCCCCATGCTAGAGAAATTCTAGAAATTCATCTCACATACTGTATGTACACACACTTATGCGTCTACCTATTCCTCCCATTGTCATTCGTTACCTTTCCTGGAAATCTTCTTTAAGGTTACTGTCACGGACGCACGATTGCCACCCTCAGCATGCCACAATCGCACGACCGCGACTAACAATACGACACGCCCGCGGCGTCAGACCCCAGACCTTCTCACCAAACTCGTGACCGAAGGACCGGCCGATCTAAAACCGCGGTGTGACACGTGTAACAATGCCGCACTCAGCTGCGCCCTGCACAACGATTGTCCAGCTAATGGAACGCAATCGACGCACCGGCAGCCTGAATGCGCTTGTTACTGGGTCGGGTTAATTACGCAACTAACCCTTCACTGCCACCACCCCTTTTTGTACAGAGAAAGGGGAAACTCTCTTTATCAAATATACACTGTAATGGTTGAAAAGTCGCCTGTCCAATACGGTCACTGCAGGCCGATTGGGCAGAGGATTAAACAAACACAGTAGCGTCTCTTCAAAAGGCTGGGATTCGTAAATTGCAAGTAAGCGCTTCGAAACAGGTGCAATTAAATATTTACAAAGAAAATGTAACAGATATATCTTAGTATATATTAGTAACAGCTCCTTTTAAAGAGATAACAGCTTTTAAAAGGTTGAAGTTAGCTTGCACATGTGTCAGCCTTAAGGTAAGCAGATCCCAGTTGCAGAGTGAATCTTTGATCCCTGCTTCAATTGGGAGATGTGTTTTAGCTTATCTCAGTCCTACAGTCACATTTTTAAGCTTCCCCCAACTGCAAGTGGCTTTCTTTAAGTGGCCAATACCCTGGTTAGGGAGGAGATGTCGGGCGAATCGGATTTAAGCTTCATAATTCATGTGACTGCGATGGCCACTTTCCAAAATGTTTCCAGCCTTTCCTCTGCAACCATGCTCTAGTGGACTTGGAGGTATGCTTGGGATCTTTTGTGCCTGTTAAAGGTCCAACGTCTCCCAAGCCTCAGGTGTGTGACGGACTGCATCACGTTTCCATCCAATATCTCCTGGTACTGAAGAGAATTCATGGTACCTTGCACACGCTGAAGCTTCCTGTACCTGCAGAAGCAAAACAGCCTCCAAAGCATGATTGACCCTCCACCATGCTTCACAGTAGGCAAGGTGTTCTTTTCATCATAGGCCTTGTTCTCCTCCTCCAAACATAGCGTTGATCCATGGGCCCAAACAGTTCTAATTTTGTTTCATCAGTCCACAGAACATATCCCACAACTTTTGTGGTTTGTCCACATGGCTTTTGGCATACTGCAGTCGACTCTTCTTATTCTTTGAGACAGCAAGGGGGTACGCCTGGGAGTTCTGGCACGGAGGCCTTCATTACGCAGTGTGCGTCTTATTGTCTGGGCTGAAACTTCTGTACCCACATCTGACAAATCTTTTCTCAGTTCCTCAGCAGTCACACGGGGACTTCTCTCCACTCTACGCTTCAGGTAGCGCACAGCAGTCGAAGTCAGCATCTTTTTCTGCCACGACCAGGTAGCGTTTCAACAGTGCCCTTTGCCTTGAATTTGCGAATGATGCTTCCTAAGGTGTCTCTTGGTATGTTTAACATCTTTGCAATCTTCTTATAGCCATTGCCCTTCCTGTGAAGAGAGAAATCACCTCTTCTCTTGTCTTCCTGGACCATTCTCTTGCCTTCACCATGTTTGTAACCACACCAGTAAATGTCTAGAAGGAGCTGAGTATCACAGTCATTTTAAAGCTGCCTAATTGGTGCTTATTATGCTTGATTGCTGCTCGGTGACATCCACAGGTGTTTTCAATACCTGATGGAAAGCACCTGTATGAACCTCTGTTCTTCAGAGTGGTAGTCTTTAAGGGGTTGAATAATTGTGGCAATGAAGAAAACCACATAAGAACCATTTACTACTGTATTACATAAACAATTGATGTCATTTTTTAGTTGCATTTGGGTAGTTACAACGTCCTTGTAGGATTTGATTCTGAATACAATTCCAAATGTACACTATAGTCCCTAAACCCCTTTACAGCATTGGGGGTTGAATAATTTTGGTCACAACTGTAAAACCGCGGTGTGACACGTGTAACAATGCCGCACTCAGGAAAAGTCGCCTGTCCAATACGGTCACTGCAGGCCGATTGGGCAGAGGATTAAACAAACACAGTAGCGTCTCTTCAAAAGGCTGGGATTCGTAAATTGCAAGTAAGCGCTTCGAAACAGGTGCAATTAAATATTTACAAAGAAAATGTAACTAAGATATATATATATATATATATATCTCTAACAGCTCAGCACAGCAAAGAGATAACAGGGAGAAGTTAAAAGGTTAAGTTACTTGCCATGTTCAGCCTTAAGGTAAGCAGATCCCAGTTGCAGAGCGAAGGGTCTTTGATCTCCTGCTGTTACAATTGGGAGATGTGTTTTAGCTTATCTCAGTCCTACAGCCTGTGTTTTTTAAAGTCCCCCAACAAGGGGAGTGGCTCTGAGTAACTGGCCAATACCCTGGTTAGGGAGGGATGTCGGGCGAACTCTGAATTAAAACCAACAGCTTCATAATTCATGATATGAAACATAGGTGAAAACTGGATCTTTTAAAAATGTTATCCGCTTTGTGCTTCTGGGGAATGCCTTGAACTCTTGAGAAGGCCCTGTTATCTTTTCCCGAGGTGCGAAGTTACACAGGTTTTGGGACAGAACGTCTGCTGTCTCTATGGGGTGGGCTTTGTAGTTCTGGGCCCCCTGCTGTTCCAGCCTGCCAGCAACTTTTAACACTTGCACATCTGTCCCTGTGCCTCTCAGGAAGGGAGGGGGTAAGGAATGAAGGATTGAGGTAGAAATGTATGCTCTTATCAAATTGGATGTGCCTTGACAAAATGGTGGCACTGCGTCCATATCTGAGCGCAAGATTGCTACAGTTACATTTAGGTACTCTTAGCCATGTTGTCTGTAACTACAACATTGTGTCCAATCTGATCCATTACAGATTTTAATTTTAAACAGAGTACCATGAATGTAATATTTATTATTATTATTATACAGGATTTTATATAGCGCCAACAGTTTGCTCAGCGCTGTACAATATAAAGGGAGACAATACAGTTCAATACAAGAGGGTTAGGAGGGCCCTGCTCTTTGGAGCTTACAATCTAGGAGTGGTACAAAAGGTAATAACTGTGGGGGATGGACTAGTAGGAAGAGTAGAAGATTTCATTATTAGCTGAGGTCAGGATAGGCTTCCCTGAAGAGAGAGGTTTTCAGAGCTTGCCTAAAAGTGAGTAGAGTAGGCGATAGTCTGATAAATTGGGGTAGAGAGTTCCAGAGGATGGGGGAAGCTCTGGAGAAGTTATGGAGACAAGCATGGGAAGAGGAGACAAGGGAGCTAGAGAGTAGGAGGTCTTGTGAGGAGCGGAGAGTACAGTTTGGGTGATATTTGGAGACAAGATTGCTGATGTAATTTGGGGCAGAGTTATAAATGGCTTTATATGTTATTGTTAATGTTTTGAATTTTTTATCCGTTGGGCAATGGGAATCCAGTGGAGGGATTGGCATAGAGAGATGGCAGATACAGAACGGTTAGTAAGGTGGATAAGTCTGGAAGCAGCGTTCATGATAAAGTGAAGAGGGGATAGCCTGCGATGAGGTAGGCCAATGGGGAGGGAGTTACAATAGTCAAGGCGAGATATAACAAGGGAGTGAATAAGTTGCTTCGTGGTTTCCGAGGTTAAGAATGGGCGTATCTTGGAGATGTTGCGGAGGTGAAGTCTACAAGATTTGGACAGCGATTGGATTTGGGGCTCCTTTCCACTCATATTTTTCTTTTCCTTTCCTTTTTTTTTTTTTTTTTTCTTTTCCCTGCACAACCATTCTCTTAACTGCTGATTTCTTTTATAATTACTATTTAGGATTACTCTGATATATATATATATATATTTTTTTTTCTTTTTCTTCCTTTTTAGTTTCTGATCACAACAGGGGAGAATCTGGATTATTTGGATGGGGTGCACACAGTATTTGGAGAAGTGACGGAAGGGATGGATGTACTGAAGAAAATTAATGAGACTTTTGTGGATAAAGATTTTGTTCCTTATCAAGATATCAGGTATACAGAATACGTTTTATTCTGTAAAACCGGTTTTCTGTAAAATCACAGGTTATTCAATGTTAATAATGAAATTTTGCATCTAAAACAATGAACTTTGCTGTAGTAACAGTATTCTTTTTCTCTTGGCCAGTATCAAAATTGTGGTTGCTATTCAGTTGGCACACATATGCTTTTGACAATTTATGGGAGGAATTACAAGAGAAGCTAACTGCAAACCTTTAAAAACTAAACCTTGGTAAATGAGAAATCGGTACAACTAAAAAACCGCTAATCCTCATGATAGCCGGCATCTCGCATATAAAAACAAACTCCTCTTAATGTGCTAGATTTAGTTACCGTATTTTCCGGCGTATAAGACGACTTTTTGACCCTTGAAAATCTTCTCAAAAGTCGGGGGTCGTCCTATACGTCGGTATACGTCAGGGCAGCACTTTTTAGGGGGGCAGCGCAGTGCTGCCGCCATCCCCCCCTTCCGACGGAAGGGACACTAAGTACAGGGGTGGGCAGAGGGCTGCTGTCTCTTACCTGGCTCCCACGACGATCCAATCCAGGAAGCGCTGCTCCTTCAGTCACTCCGGCCACTCCCTCACTCCTGCCGCTCGGCTCCGCCTCCTCACCGGTGATTGGCTGCCAGAACTGTAGCTCAGGAAAGGCACACAGAAGGCCAATCACGGGCGAGGAGGCGGAGCCGAGCGGACCCTCGAAAATCGAGTGAGGGAGCAGCTGGTAAATGTGTGCAGTGCAGAGGTGCTGCTGCAACCACATATGCTGGCTGCAGCAGCACCATACTGGAACAGGGGTCAGCAAGTGTCATTGGTGTCAGTGGGAGGAATAGTGACCCATAATTGGTGTCACTGACCCCAACGATGGGGCGCTATTCCTCCCACTGACCCCAACGATGGGGCGCTATTCCTCCCACTGACCCCAACGATGGGGCGCTATTCCTCCCACTGACCCCAACGATGGGGCGCTATTCCTCCCACTGACCCCAACGATGGGGCGCTATTCCTCCCACTGACCCCAACGATGGGGCGCTATTCCTCCCACTGACCCCAACGATGGGGCGCTATTCCTCCCACTGACCCCAACGATGGGGCGCTATTCCTCCCACTGACCCCAACGATGGGGCGCTATTCCTCCCACTGACCCCAACGATGGGGCGCTATTCCTTGACCCCAACTGGGGCCCACTGACCCCAACGATGGGGCGCTATTCCTCCCACTGACCCCAACGATGGGGCGCTATTCCTCCCACTGACCCCAACGATGGGGCGCCATCATTGGTGTCAGAGCGAGGAATCGTGCCCCATCATTGGTGTCAGAGCGAGGAATCGTGCCCCATCATTGGTGTCAGAGCGAGGAATCGTGCCCCATCATTGGTGTCAGAGCGAGGAATCGTGCCCCATCATTGGTGTCAGAGCGAGGAATCGTGCCCCATCATTGGTGTCAGAGCGAGGAATCGTGCCCCATCATTGGTGTCAGAGCGAGGAATCGTGCCCCATCATTGGTGTCAGAGCGAGGAATCGTGCCCCATCATTGGTGTCAGAGCGAGGAATCGTGCCCCATCATTGGTGTCAGAGCGAGGAATCGTGCCCCATCATTGAAATACCATACCATATTGAAATCAAATCTGAAGTTTTTTTATTTGGTGTGTGTGTTGGAAGAGGGGTAGTCTTATACGGCGAGTATAGCCCAAACCCTATATTTTAACAGGAAAAGTAGGGGGTCGTCTTATACGCCGGAAAATACGGTATTCAGAATAAGCATTTAATGTGATATTAAAGGCATTTTTTTAAATAACAAACATGTTATACTTACCTGCTATGTGCAATGGTTTTGCACAGAGCAGCCTGGATCCTCCTCTTCTCAGGTTCCCTGCCAGAACTCCTGGCCAATCTGTCATTCCAAGTGTCACCAGAGCAGCAGGCGGCTTGCTATGGGGCATCTAAGCAGGCTTGCTCCTGAGCTGATGCTCTATGTGTCTATTCACACACAGTGCCATGGCTCGACCCACCCTCTCTGTCATTGGCTCACTGGCTGTGGTTGACAGCAGCGGGAGCCAGTGGCTCCCGCTGCTGTCTCAGGCAGGGAGAGTCCCCAGAGAGCAGAATCTCTCGCTCACATTGCTGGATCGAGATGGGGCTCAGGTAAATTTTAGGGGGCTGCTGCTCACAGAATGTAAAAACCTTGAGCCTTTTAAAACCACTTTAAAGTTTAGTGTTTTACATTTAGGCTGAGCTTCAATCAAAGTGGAATGCCACATAGCCTTTTCTTTTAAATTGTCTTGGCCATGCCCTGCACATACAGCACATGCGCCCCACTTTATGGATGGGTTCATACCCTTACTTCCGATGTGCAAAGTACAGAACCATACCTTGTAATGAGTGGGAACCAACTTGTCCATGCGTGGTAGGCACAGGGTCCAGTCTGGACTGTTTTGAAGAAAAGACTTTTGGCACTTGACAGGGCCAAACAGTCAAGGTCTAACTTTACTAAATGTAATGTTCCTCTATATCCCCTTCAGCCGTATTCCATCCAAATTCTTTAGTGTTCGCGTTAAATGTTTTAAATTTATACCTTCCTTTTTCTTGCAGGGGAAAAGGCAGACATTTTGAAATGATTAGTTTTTAGGGAGTTGCATCTTGTGAAATTTTAGGGTTAGGGGTTTGTTTTTAAGGTCAGATTTTATAGGCGAGATCAAGGAGAGAGAGATCAAGGAGAGAGAGACTAGGCTTTGGAACCCATATGGACTGGATTGAGCACAATAGTTTTTGGGGTTTTTTTTTTTTTCATTCATTTTCAAATGTTTAAGATTTATGAGAAGCAATAGGAAGTATTCCAGACACTGCCCCCCCCCCCCCCCCTTTCTCTCAGCTTTCTTCATAACATGAGGAAGTTGTTCTGTAGATAAGTGGTAGCCTGGGAAGGAAGGTGAGATAACGCAAGTGTCATGAAGGTAGTGGACCCTCTGTTGACAGGCCCTAAAGAGGGCCGAGGTGAAGGGTCTAAGGAATGTCCCCATGTTCTGCAGAGCACCCAGAAGGATGATAGGCTTTGCTGTGGACAACTCTGATTGCGGCCCTCGGTTACATTCAGAATGGCAGTAGCTGACAGCAGGCATATACAAAGCATGGTACAATTATGGAAGCCAAGATTGTGGTCAAACAGGCGCAAGGTCAGGGCAGTCAGGTAATAAGGATAATTATGAAACTGGCATAGGTTGTAAACTGGTATCAGAACTGGAACAGAGTTCATGGGTACAGGAGCCTTGGAACAGATAGCCAGAAAGGTCTTTGCTCAGATAACTACCAAATGCACTTAGCGGGTTTAATTATTATTATTATTATTATTATTATTATTATTATACAGTATTTATAAAGCGCCAATAGTTCGCTCAGCGCTGTACATTACAAAGGGGGACAGAACATGTGACAGAACAATACCAATACAATGCAAAACATGAGGGGATCGAGGGCCCTGCTCTTTCAAGCTTACAATCTAGGAGGGAGGGGATGGTGGCACAGGAGGAGATAGCTGTGGGGGATGGAGTGGTAGGAAGAGTGGAGGAGGTCGGCAAGTTAACAGGGGGCGGGGTAGGATTCCCTGAAGAGATGGGTTTTCAGGGTGCGCCTAAAGGAGAGGAGAGTAGGTGATAATCTGATGGGTTGGGGCAGGGAGTTCCAGAGGATGGGTGACACCCTGGAGAAGTCCTGGAGGCGGGCATGGGAGGAGGAGACCAGGGAACTAGAGAGAAGGAGGTCTTGTGAGGAGCGGAGTGTGCGTGCTGGGCGGTACTTGGATATTAGGTCAGTGATGTAGTTCGGGGCAGTATGGTGGACAGCTTTGTACGTCAGCGTTAGGATTTTGAATTTGATCCGTTGCGCAATCGGAAGCCAGTGGAGGGATTGGCAGAGGGGGGTGGCGGAAACGGAGCGGTTGGAAAGGTGAATGAGTCTGGCAGCCGTATTCAGGATGGACTGAAGCGGGGATAGCCAGCGGCGAGGCAGGCCAGTGAGGAGGGAGTTGCAGTAGTCGAGTCGCGATATGATGAGGGAGTGGATGAGCTGTTTAGTGGTTTCTGGAGTTAGGAACGTGCGGATTTTGGCGATGTTGCGGAGGTGGAGTCTGCACAAGTTTGTTAAAGAGTGGACTTGGGGCTGGAAGGATAGGTTGGAGTCCAAAATGACACCAAGTACTCTGCCCTGCGGGGCGGGTTTGATGGTGGCGTTGTTGGACATGATGGAGAAGTCAATGGGGGTGGTGTCCGGGCTGGAGGGAAGACAAGAAACTCGGTTTTGGAGAGGTTCAGTTTAAGGAAGTGGAGCGACATCCAGTCTGATATGTCGCTCAACAGGTGTGTGATTCGGGGCGGAGACCGAGGGGGTGAGGTGGGGGGTTGAGAGATAGATTTGTGTGTCGTCGGCATAGAGGTGGTAGTTGAAGCCGTGAGAGTGTATGAGTTGGCCAAGGGAGGAGGTGTAGATGGAGAAGAGAAGGGGCCCGAGGACAGAGCCTTGAGGGACCCCAACAGAGAGGGGGAGTGAGAGGGAGGTGGTGGCATTATAGGTAACGCTGAAAGAGCGTTGTGACAGGTAGGATGAGAGCCAGGAGAGAGCAGAATCTCTGAGGCCGAGGGAGTGTAGTTTTTTGAGGAGGAGGGGGTGGTCGACTGTGTCAAAGGCCGCAGAGAGGTCAAGGAGTAGGAGCACTGAATAGTGGCCATTAGCTTTGGCGGTTAGCAGGTCGTTGGAGAGTTTGAGTAAGGCAGTTTCGGTGGAGTGTAGGGGACGGAAGCCGGACTGTAGGGGATCGAGGAGGTTGTTGTCGTTGAGGTGAGAGCATAGGCGGGCGTAGACTAGGCGCTCGAGGAGTTTAGATGTAAATGGGAGCAGGGAGATGGGTCTGAGGTTGTTCGGGTCATTGGGGTCCAGGGAGGGCTTTTTAAGTATGGGGGTGATGTGTGCATGTTTCAGAGGGGAAGGGAAAGTGCCGGAGGAGAGGGAGAGATTGAAGATGTGGGTGAGGGAGCATAGGATGGAGGGGGAGGGAGGTTGTAGGAGTTGTGTGGGGATAGGGTCAAGGGGGCAGGTGGTGAGGCGGGCATCAGAGAGGATCTTGGAGACTTCTTCGATGGTAGTAAGGTCAAAGGTGCGGAGTGTTGGGGGAGCTTCAGTATGAGGAATGTAGGGTGACTTCAGAGGAAGTGTTCAACAGTATTCTTACTAAGAACCAACGTGGAGCAGCAGTGCAAGAGCATCTAAACGTATGGACTCAAAAACATCTACAGCATTCCAGCGTTTCTGGGGAATTCCAAAGTAGTTCCACAGAGAAATGGGATCAAATAAGGGATCCAGGTGCGAAACCGCAAACTCTTCCTGCAGTAACTTGGCTGAAACATGAACTGCTGTGGACAGTGACACAGGTTGGTTTGGAAATGGCAAACTATCATAGGACAGCACTGGATTTCTGGCAAAATCGACACTGTTTGTATTTATTATACAGTGTTCAGACTGGTAAACCTATGTATGGAATGATATCTATTGGAGCTGATTTTGCTGTTTACCTCTGTTGTCATTGATTAACCGTGATTTAAGGCTTATTTTTGAAAAAAATTATAAATGCATATGTTTGTGCAGGAAAAAAAAGTGCATTTTTAAAAAGTGTTACAGAAGCCTGCAAAGCATCGCACCCACGATCAGTGGATCGCATGTGCCATATCAGGCTCCTGCAAACTTGTTCACCAGCTCTCTGCCTGTACCTCTGTACAGGCTATCAGTTGGAGAGCTGGAGGAAGATTCATAGGACTACAAGGGCTCTGATTACCACACTCCTAGTCCATTGAGAACTAGAAGTTTGTCTGCTGTAGAGAAAGATGGGACTTGTAGTTCTCTTTAACAGATCCCTGTGAATGAATGATGTGACTGTAAGGGCTGAGCCCTGCAGGGCCGTGCTGATTTCAGATGTGACAGCGGCTACATGGGAGAAGAACCCCCATCCACTGTCACAGGGAGTGACATTGTGAGGGTGGTGGGGAGGCATTTGCACCTTATTTCATGGTATACCCTAAATACATGGTACAAAAAAGGTTAACCTTTCCTCCCTTTAACATCTGGCCAGGGAGAAAAGTAAGTATGTTATTTACTAAAGAACATCTTCTCTAAAGGTGATGTTGCTGCAATTGACATTGAGCAATGTATCATTTGTAAGATGATTCAGTCTAAAAGTTTAACTCAGATAAACGCAGTCATGTGGCAAACTGCTAATGCTGTTCTGATTTTTAGCTAATTCCAAAGTGCTCTGTAAAATCTGTGTCATTTAACAAGGTTTATTTTAAAAAAAAAAAATTATATACAGTTCAAACATTTTTAAAACATTTAACATATCCGTTTACAAAGTCACAAACTTAAAGTAAATAATTAAAATTGTATAGAAATTGTGCAGCGCTAAGATACTGAGATAAAATTCACTTGGATCACAATGCATCAAATAAAATCAAATATATAAAATGCATAAAGTCCAAAAATAATATATGGATAAAAGTGAGGAAAGAGTATAATATGATGTGACCAAGGTGACTTTTGTTAATCCAGATATAGTGTGACTCCACAGTCCATGTGAGCGGCAGGCATATAGTTAAAATGCGCACTCACCGGATATGCATAGAATATGCGCAGTATATAAATCAATGAAGTTCAGCCCGGAGTTCCTCTTAAGGATGGTACAGGAGATGTCAGCCCAGGGTGGATAGATAACATCAAGGTTGGCACTATGTCCTCCGGAAGCCCCTTTAAGGATATGGACACAACCTCTTCTGGGTAAAGAAATGGTCACCGTGGGGGGGTCTTGTCTATGCTATTGCTATTGTCTATGAAACAACAATTAATGTCCACATCTACGTTAAGGCCAGCTGATGCTAGGGATTTCATGTTATATATCCACTTCTTCTCAGCCTGTGAAACGAGTCTCTTTTTATTAGATCCTTTGGATTTACACCAGCTGGTCAGTGCTCATAGCAGTCTTTTTGCTGCTTGTTTGTTGTGTCTGCATTAAGGATTTGCTGCATGTATGTTCGCACTTTTATCTACCTATATGTTTTTAATACATTTTTTTTGGATCATTAACCTACTACACTATGGGCATTTCCTTTTGTTGTGCTTTGTGAGCTGTTAATTCCCCAGAGCCCCCCCCCCTCCCCCCCCCCCCCACGGTGACCATTTCTTTACCCAGAAGAGGTTGCGTCCATATCCTTGAAGGGGCTTCCGGGCACAGTGCCAACCTTGATGTGATCTATCCACCCTGGGCTGACATCTCCAGTTCCATCCTTAAGAGGACCTCCGGGCGGAACTTCATTGATTTATATACTGTGCATATTCTATGCGTATCCGGTGAGTGCGCATTTTAACTATATGCCTGCCACTCACATGGACTGTGGAGTCACACAATATCTGGATTAACAAAAGTCACCTTGGTCACATCATATTATACTCTTTCCTCACTTTTCTCAATATTTTATTTTTGGACTTAATGTATTTTTATATATTTTGATACATTTGATTTTATTCATTTGATGCATTGTGAACCACATGGATTTTATCTCCGTATCTTAGCGCTGCACAATTTCTATACATATTTATTTTTAAGGTCTGTGGTTTCCTTTTAGTGTGCAGCTGCTTTTTACCATTCTAAGCGCTC